CCCAACCATAACATTATTTTCGTTGCTACTTCATCACTGTCATTTTGCTACTGGTATGAATCGGGTGACCCCTGTGAAAGGGTCGTTCAACCCCCAAAGGGGTCACGACCCACAGATTGAGAACCGCTGATCTACAGTCTCGGAAGCCCACAGGGTTACTGAGTCCTATAGGGTAGCTTTGAGTTAGGATCAGCCCTATAGCAGTGAGTTTGGTTTGGTTTAGAAGCTCAGACGATGTGCCAATTAGCAGGCCCTCTGTAATGTTGGCGGATGGGATTACTCTATTATGCTTTTCCCTGTGATTGGCTAAATCACTTAATCCAGAGGGTCTTCAATCTGAGTGTGCATCAGAATTATAGAGACTCACTAAAACACAGATGACTGCTCCCTGCTTTGAGAATTTGTGAACACATAGGTCTCCTGTGTGGTTGGAAGTTTGTTCTATTGAACAAGTTTGTTCTATTTCCAAGCGTTGCTTGTGCGTACAGTCCTGGGACTCTCCTTGGATAACTACCTACTTAACTAAAGAATCCACCCCTATCAACTTACATACAGGTGCTGAGTATATGTATATTTATTTTTCAGGAAAAACTTTGGGTGAGAAAGCTGTTAATAAAGCACCCATGAATGGATATTGTCATATGTGGTAAGTATGCATAATGTAGGCAGTGTTTGAACGCTTTAATATGCCTCTTCATAAATTACAGCAGATTAAAAAATTATTGACCCAATTCACCTGTCAATCACATTTATTTAAAAATATTTCCTAGATGGCATAACTATTCTTGTTCTGTTTATTCTAATGTATTTTTAACTCATTTAAAGTAAACGTTTAGTGAGAATTTCTCAAATGAATCAACCAAGATAAAGGACTTTGAACATGGTAAATTTAAATTAAGAATATTTTATCATAACATTTTATTTGAAAATAAAACTAAAAAGGTGCCATGCTTCTAAATAATATGTAGGAAGACTACTTTAAAGAATAAAGTGCCCACCGAAGGTCTTCAAATAGTTCATGGAAAAAAGAATCCATTACCTTCTAATTCCATTTTTCTTTTTTT